TTTTTTTTTTTTTTTTTCCTCCTTCATCCCTTCCTTACCCCATTTGCCTGCTATGCCGGCGCATTCAAACAGAAGTGCTCGCAGAAAGAAAAAAAAAACGGAAGTTTAAGAAATGCGGGGAGATGTGTTTGGTGTCGTTTGGGTTCTATCACTAATGAGCCTAATTAGATCAATGGTCACACTCACACCCCGAAACCTCCCGGCGAGTCCCACTATCTCCGTCTAAACAGAGACACAAGCTGCGCTGAAAAGTCATGCAAGAGTTTTGTTTTTGTTTTCTTTGCTTTTGCTTTGCCAAGAGAAGTTACTTTTCCCCCCTTTTCCTCACCATCACATTTTTTAATTTGTTTTTATTCTGAAGAGGACGGGCTCTGGACCGGATTTGGGGTGATTCTTCTCTCCTTTGTATGAGCAAACACGAGAGCAGAGGAAAACGGGGAGGGTGCAGGGGTGGGGGGGTGGCAGGGGGGGGGGGGGGGGACAACAGAGGGGGAAGGGAGAAGAAGGTGCCTCGGAAGGAGCTCGCACGCTATTTTACCTGCAAATCGTCCGCTCCCGAGGCTGCAAGCCCGAGGCTCGGTCCTGGCAGGAGTCTTTGATCTGGATGCATCCCATACTGGGAGCCATGGCTCATAAGAGACAGGTCGTGGCGGCGATAAGCGTCTAAGCAGCCCAGCTCTCTGCGCTGCTCGTCCAGGCAGGAGGACTTGAGCGCCCGCGCATTGTGCAGGTTGATGAAGTCGGTGGGTTCCCCGTGGTGGATCTGCTGGTAGTACTGCTGCGAGTGATGCAGAGAGTTGAGGGAATAGGCGTCAGGGGTGACGGCCGGGTGGCTGTGCTGGAACTCGTAGTGGAAGGACTGGTGGTGCAGAGGGGTGTACTGGTGATTAGTGGAGAAGTACGGGGAGGCGAACTCGGTGCCCGTTGTAGAGTACGTGAGCGGAGACGAGGAGGAGTAGGCGACGGTGGAGTTGGCCACGGACTCCAGGCATCCTAGCTGCATCAAGCGGTAACTGTTTGATCCATCGTGACGTATCTGGAAGGAAGAAGTGAAAAGAAGACCCCAAAACTGGAGGTTTGTCATTTAAAACCCCGGGTGCGGGTCTTGCGAGCACGCTGTCCTGCATCGCTTCTCGCCCGTCACGAGCGACTCAGCCTGCGAGCTGCAGTCGCAACAACAAAAGCTCCTTTCTCACCTTGGGCTGGTGCCATAAAGGTCTGTTCAAAAAATCATAAACAGCCCAAGAGTGCCCTTAATACCGTAAAGCGAAAGAAATCCACTCACTGAAGTAATATTAATAATATYAATAATAAAATCTTTGTCCATCTATCCATCCACCTCCTGATCACAGCTGTAGTATCTGAAGCTGACACAAAAAGTCAGCAAACAGAAGAAACTAACGGCAATACACACAAGTCCCGTCCCTATGTTAGAGTTACACATTGAGAAAGCTTTGCCGCCTGCTCGCCTGCCTTTCTCTCTTTCGTTTTTTTTGAACCCCTATTTTTCTCTCTTTTTAAAATAACGAATCAGATCCAAAATTTCCCCCTCCTTTTCCTGTGTATTGAAAGAAAAGGGGAGTCCTTTTTTTTTTTCTTCTTCTTCTTCTTCTTTTTTTTTTTTTTTTTTCTTTTTTAGCGAGGACTCCCTATTCCTGGCGAGCTTGTGATTTCCCTCCACTTCATTATATTATTAGGGGGTATTATTCTGATTTTCGTTCTGGCAACGGTTTTAACGTGGTAATGAGTTGCCCTTTCTGGCGACAGATGTCATAACGAATTTTCTCTCTATACTTCTTTAAGTTATCTCTGAAGCCGGATTATAATTAAATGTAACGGTCCAATATGGATTTAAAAAAAAACGGAAACAACCACACAGGCACATACACACACACATATGCACACACATGCACACACACATACACGCACACACACGCACACACTCTCACACACAAAATACCTCTGCATCGTGGACGAGACCTGGAAAGGTAGTTGACATTTTTTGGTTCTCCGAAAAAAAAGATAAAAAAGAAAAAACGCTGGATAAAATTCCCCTCTCCAAAATGAAAAATAAAAAAATAAAAATTAATAAAAATTTAAAAAATCCAAAGTTCACGTATTTCTCCAATTTTTTTTTTTTTAGAAAAAAAAATCTCTACAAACAGAGAGAATTTGCAATGTATCAGCATAGATCAGATCTCTCGCTTTTCCATGCACCTCCTTAAAAACCTGTAGGAACAAAATTTTCCCTCTGCACAAAAGCTGCTCCCTGGATCAGATTTTGTACTTGCTGGGTATTTCTTTGGCTGATGTCGTAGGTCCCTTGGTAATATAGAAGTTTTGAAAATTAAGCATCAGCACTGAGAACTGGGAGGACAATAGATAGAGGAGCTTCATCCCAGGAGACAAGGAATAAATATTGTATCTTCGCCTAATAAGGAACTGTAGGTTCTTTCAACATTTTTATACATTTTTCTCCTCCACTCTTTAGAATGCTTTTTCTTACCCAGAACTAATATGGGAGCTAATCTGATGGAAAGGGGTATTTTGTGTACATTTTATTGGGAAGACATAGAGCTAATATATATTAATATATATTATTATAACCGTCCTTTTCAGTAGGTAAGTGTTCCTTCCTGTTGATTATACTGCTTTTAAATATTGACCAGCCTCTAAGAATGCACATTTGTATGCGTGTCTGCTTAACTGTATTTTTTTTTCTAAATGAAAACTCTGTGGTTTGTTTTGGATTTGATTTTTTTAACTCTTGAATTTACATCGAATTTAAGTCCACCCCACACTCCAACCTGCTTGCAAAGCTTCCTAATATACTCTCTTGCAAGCTTCTTTAAATAGCTTTTTTTTTTTTTTTTTTTCTTTCCCTAAACATAAGAATAGGATGAGATCACAAAGTATCACCCAGCGACATATTATATTTATTTATAATATACATATAGACCTAAAGAGCTGTATCTATATGCAAGGGTGGGGGGGCGGAGGGGGAAACCCATCTTGACTCTTCGAAATTGGTAGCGGCAGAGGCTGCGTGACCCGCGCTGCGGAGTCCAGGGCTCAATTTACTCCTTCGTTTGGGGCCGCGGAGCTGCAGCCCGGGACGGGTGCGCCGTGGTTGCGCGGAGCTGCGCGGAGACACCGCCCGCGGGAGTCACCCAGGCCAGGGCGCTTGGCCAAATGGCATTTGCCGGCGGGGTGCGGGCGAGCTGCTCCGCGAATGGTGAAGCCGGCAGAGAAGAGAGGGTGTAACTTTCTTTTAATTGCCATTTAATTCGGTTAGCTTTTAAGTGTTTAAGCTGCGAAGGTGTCTTAATAATAAGCCGCAGGCAAACAGGCTTGTGGCTCCCCCCCATTCCAGCACCCTAGTATCTTTTCTTTTTTTTTTTTTTTTTTTTTTTAAGGTCCAGGTTTGGGGAGGGTTTGTTGGTATCTCTTCATGTAGGAGATGTCATTCAGCCCCGGTTGCTTTATCGGGATGGACAAAGGCACACGAGGAATGGGAACGCGCAGTGCGCGAGGGAGCGCGCGGCTCTGCGACGTGCACGGGGTCAGCGGGCAGAGCCGCGCGCCTCCGCCGCGCTGCGCGCAGCTCCGCTTTGCCCCTGCCCTGCTCGACGGGACGTGGGAGGGAGGGAGGAAGTGAAGAAGGGAGGAAATGAAGAAGGGAGGACGAAAAGAGAGRAGGAAGGAAGAAGGGAAGGAAGGAAGGAAGGAAGAGAGGAAGGGAGGAAGAGAGGAAGAAGAAAGGAAGGAAGAACTGATGATTTATTTTCTTTTGAATTTCTTACTATTGCTCTGAAGTTCAATTGAAATAACAAATACTCATTCCCAATACACATTTTTAGGATTTCTCGGAGCTCTCTCAAAGTCCCATGCTGTCTGGGACACTCACGTTCCATGCACGTAGCAGCACACAACTCGGGCAACTTGAACCCCCAAACCTTCCAAAAGTTATGGCACCTTGAGGACACACTCCTGCCACATGCAAAGGACCTCCTTCCCTTCGCGGGGACCAGCACCCATTTCGTCAGGCCACCTTGTTGAATTATCAGCTGGCAGGACATCACCCCGCTGCAGGACCCGTCTTTTGCACTGAAAATCACCCATTTCTCCTCTCCACCCTCCACCCAGTGCCTCCCTCCCCCCTTCCCCACGCACGCACGACCCAGGCAGACCCACAGCCACAACACCAGCCAGCTCGGGGCCCGAACTTCGCTTCAAACAACAACAAAGCCACCAAAATGGTTTTGTTTTGCAGCGGGCTTGGGGGGTGTGTGGGGGGAGAAGTTTATACGAAACAGGGCTTGCCATATGCACGGTTACTGGTCAGTTCCATCTGTTAGCTTCGCTTGCAGACCTTAAAATCATATAGCCCCGTCCGCGTCGTGCGCTCTTTTAACTCCCCTCTCCCCCCCCACCCCATCCAATTAATAAAGCGAGTCAAACTGCGGAGCACTTATTAATTGCTCCCGACGAAATTCTTTGAGGAAAGTTAATTGGGAGCTCTCTGGTTTTCCAACCAGCGCCATAAGCTGATGGTCGCAGCAGACAGATTTGGCGTTGAGCTACATTGTGGCTGGGCATGTTGTTTACCCCAGCGAGGTCTCCCCCCTGCTCCAGGTTCGCTTCTGCTCTTGGGCTGCAACGGTCTCTTTTTTTAAAAAAAAAATGCCGGGAAAGACAGACTGGAATGCTGGAAGGAAAGGAGTTGTGGGGAAATTTATCTCTCTGAGATCATCTCCATTTTCCTGGTCCTTCACTGAATTGTGCAAAGTGGCTGGTGCTGCTGCAGGAACAGTCTGGGCTTGGTGTCTGCCCCCACCCCCCTCCGGACTCACTGAGCTCATCTGGTTCTTGAAATAAAAATGATCCACTGAGGTTACCTTTTTTTCCCCCTTTTCTGCTCCTCCCATCCCCATGCTCTGCTAGCTGCCCCATGGCCGTTTATTCTCATTCCCATTTAAAAATCTGATTTTCCATTGAGAGTCACCAAAGTTTGGTCATTACTGGAGCTAAACTCCTGGTGACTTTTCTGGGACTTTTCTCTAAGTTCAAAGAGCTGGACCTCTTCAGAGAGATCTTGGGGTGTGTAGTGCCAGGACATCCCTGGCTCTGGGTCTACCCTAAAATCCTTTGGGGCCAAAGGCCTAGAGAAAAGTCCCCATTGGGTGGCCAGCCTTTTGCTTAATAGACATTTCCCTCCCCTTTTTGTCATCCACAATTTCTGAAGTTTACGAGCTGTGAGCCCCAAATTCGACTGACCTAAAACAAAGGCCTTTGTGCCTCCTCTGACTCGTGGCCCATTGTCTGCATCAGGTCTATTGTTGTCGAGCCCTTTGTTTCTCCCTCCCCACGCCCCGCAAAGCTTCTTCTAGTTCTCTAGCCCTGGGCCCTTGAACTTCTCACTGCTGCCTGGCAGACGGCGGGGGAACCGGGTGTGAACATGGGTCACTCTACCCTCCCTCCCCTGCCTCCCCCACAGAGAAAACTTCAGAAGGGACCGGGAGGTTGGAGGCACAAGTTTTGGAGAGGGTTCCTCCAACTCAAGCTTATGGATAGAGATGTCTAACCCTGGAATACTCCAAAAATCAGTCCTTTCCCTTTCCCTTTAAGCATAGTTAACATCTCTGAGGCCAAGCACCATGTTTCTCCTTTTTGCAAATTTGTATTCTGCTTCAACACAACAGCCAAAAGGCAACATAATGGGACAGAGAGAATGTATTTGTAAACAATTCAAATGTTGTGAATATATTAGTCAAATATTAAGGAAATAACTGTTGTCTCCAGTCATTTCTTTGATAGCAGCAAGATGTCCTGCTTGCTGAAACTTTSATGAAGACTTAAGGGCAGTTATGCTGCAAACCAGGTATTTGACATCATACATTATCAGTGGGAAAGGAAGAGGGGAGATGGCTTCAAAGCCAGACTGAAAATATACAGACCAACATTTTCTTGCAAAAATGTGCTCACCTTTGAGTGAATACCACTCCTGCCACTTCATGAAAGCATTAAGAAGAGAGATCTCACCATGACATGGCTTTGTCATGTGAGTATCCAAATAGACTAGAC